CCCACTGTGTTTGTTTGCCATAAGCTCCCATGCATAACGGCTCTCTCTAACACCCCTACATCACCCCACCCCCCCCCCCCCGCATAGCTTGCAGCCGTCCCGGCTGCCAAACGCACCCCCAGACCGTGCGTGTGCCTCACAATTTTTCAACAATAACAAGAACAACAACAAGAACAACAACAAGAACAACAGCAAGAAGAGAAATACCCGACGCACCCCCCCCGAATAAATACGAATTCCGTAAAAGCAGCCTATATACAATTTGCAGGGAACCCACCACACACACACACATAGTGAACACATTATATGTACATCCAATGAGCAGGGAACACACCACTCACACAACACACAATGAACACAATATATGTACATATCTTCCGGCCTCACAATAGTCTAAATATTTTTGCACGCGTCCTTGCAGCGGGCCCATCACACGGGTAACCCCGGGTGGCGGACCGTCGGGTGGTAACTGTCCGTCTCGGAGTGAGTCCTCATCCGATGCCGCGTGACCCTTGGCATCCCCAGGAGGGGTGATCGGGCGCGAGCCCGTCACTCTTGATGCACCTGGAGGTGGCACAGCCGGCAAGACATTAGGCGAGCACAACGGAGAATTTTGCATGGCAGCATCCCGTGCCTCTGTTAATTTTGCCAGATTAAATTTAACATGGTCAGCCAATTTTGTTTTACCCTGCAGCGCGGGGATCTGCAGCTGGGCCCGAACAGGTGGGTCAGGTTCGCGGCCGTACATGAGGAAGAAGGGGGGAAATCCCGTAGCTGCATGGGGGGCCATTCGGTATGCTGCCAAGACCCCTTGAATTTGCAGGTCCCAATCGGTCTGTGAGTCCGAAACCTGCTGTGACAACATCGACGTGATGGTTCGATGCAGACGCTCGACCATCCCGTCAGTTTGCGGGTGATACGGGGAGGTACAAATTTTTCTTCGTGCCCAGGAGCTCACAGACTTGTTGGAGTAGTTTGCCGAAAAATTTTTGCCCTGGTCGGTCAGCAGCCGCTCCGGAGCACCTTTGTCCAGGACGTATCCCTGGACAAAGGCCTCCACAATGGCTGCTGCCGACTGGTTGGCAAGGGGCCAGGCCATAGGCCAGCGCGTAAAATACTCCACACCGGTCAACAAATATCTATTGCCCCTGGGGGTGGCGGGGAATGGGCCCAAAATATCCAGCGCGACAAGCTCGTTACTCTGGACACTTTGATCGATTGCAAAGGTGGGTTAGACTCCCGTGCTGGCGGTTTCCGTTGCGCACATCGAGGGCATGACCCCAACAAATCGCCGACATCCCTCGTCATGCCTGGCCAAAAAAAATCAAGTTGGAGCAAGGCGAGGGTCTTTTGGGTCCCCAGGTGGAGGAGGCGCTCATGAGCGGCCCACACCACCTTGCCCCGCAACCCAGAAGGGAACCACCAGCCGGTGTCGATGGGATCTCCTGTCCCAATGCATCAGCAGGCCTTGGACCATTTCCCATGAGTCGGCATCACCCCTCCCCCGCCCAGCACCGCCGACGCGACGACGCAACGCGAGGAGGGAGGTATCCTCCATCTGGAGGCGCCCCCATTCAGTGACGGGCAACCCCAACAGGGAATCTCTTCCCTGTTGTGCTATCGAATTTTGTAAGCAATGTTGTCGTCGTCGGCGGCCGCCAAGACCGGAACAGATATGTCCCCCGGAGGCCTGCAACGTCCCGACCCCAGGAGGCATGCACATTCGGAGGTGGTTGGCATGCGCGACAGGGCGTCCGCATTGGTATGGCGAACGCCCTACGGTAGGTGGTTTCAAAATCAAAGTCCTGGAGAATCTCCAAACCATCGAGACAATTGTCCCGATGGTTGTTGAACTCGCAGTGGCGTACTGTAGCGCCGCATGATCTGTGCGGACGGTGAAATGCCGACCGTACAGATATGGGCGATACTGTTGGATGAAGTAGACAATTGCCAACAGTTCCCGACGGGTGACACAATATCTTTGCTCACGCTGGAGACAACACCCGACTACCGTACGCGACCACCCGTTCCACGCCGTCAACCCCCTGGGAAAGCACGCCCCCAATACCCGTATTGCTCGCATCGGTGTCGAGCAAAAAGGGTTTTGAAAAATCGGGGTAAACCAAGGGAGGAGCTTTAACCAGAGCGTCCCGAAGGGAGCGGAAAGCAGCCTCCTCCTCCTGTCCCCAATGGAACCGAACCCCTTTGGACGTCAACGTGTGTAGGGGTTTCGCAATTGTCGCAAAATCCGCGACAAACCGTCGGTAATATGACGCAAATCCAATGAAACTCCTGACCTCTCCCACCGAGGTGGGGAGTCGGCCAGGAGCTGACACACTGCGTTTTGGCGGGATCGGTAGCAATACCTGAGCGCCCCACGATGTGTCCCAAATAACGCACAGATTCGCGTAACAGATGACATTTTTGGGGTTTAAATTTCAAATTAGCAGCCCGCATTTTGAGAAAAACCACCCGCAACCTCTGGAGATGTTCGTCAAATTTTACTAAAGATGATAACGTCATCCAAATAAATCAAGCACGAGTCCCATTGCAATCCAGCCAAAACCAATTCCATCAATCGCTGGAAAGTTGCCAGCGCTGAGTGAGTCCCATCGGCAACCGGTTGAATTGGAACAGGCCGTGCGGTGTACGGAATGCAGTTTTAGGGCTTTGAATCATCGTCCAGAGGAAGCTGCCAGAATCCCGAAAGTAATCCAACGTGGAGAAGAATCGCGCTCCCGCCAAGGCGTCAAGCGATTCGTCCATCCGTGGGAGCGGGTATGCGTCGGCAACCGAAATTTTGTTAAGGCGACGAAAATCGACGCAAAACCGCAACGAACCGTCCTGTTTCTTAACTAGGACGATCGGCGCTCCCCAAGGGCTGGTGGAAGGAGAAATGATGTCGGCGGCTAACATGTCATCCCACAGCCGATGTGACATGGTCCTTTTCGGCGGGACTTAACCGAAAAGGATTCTGGCGTATTGGCGCGCTGTCACCTGTATCAATATGGTGACGCAGCAGATGAGTGCAGCCCAAATCGTATTTGTTCCGACTGAAAACGTCAGAAAATTCACACAGTAGTGTTTTAAGTTGTTGACGCTCTAAATTTGACAGGTCCGTCGATCCCGCACAAAGCGCCTCGAGCCACCCTTCATCGCTGTCCGAATGTGGTCGCGGCGTAGGGACAGCGCTTGCGTGGTTCGCGACGGGTTCCTCACAGGGCACCGGCGTTGCGTGAGCAAGCACGGTCCCCTGTGGACCACCACCGTCTGCGACCCCACATTGAGGACCGCGATGAAGGGATCCCCGTCCCCTCTAACGATGGTCTGTGCCAGAACTAAATGAGGTCCGCTAACCCCGGCCCTAGACGGCCCCAGCAGAACCCCCTAGGCCCCAATGCCCTTAGCGAAGGGCCGCCGAAGTTTTAGAGGTATCACATTTGTGCCCCCGGCGGTACGCGCACCGTTCTATCTACGAACGCCGGCACCATCGCGAACGCCGTCCGACTCGCAACGGGGGACGGCAGAAACGCCATGCGTCGGCCCGACGGGAGCTCAATGCAGCCCTGGTCGATTAATATCCTAATCGGCATTTGGCCAGGAAGTCCGTCCCCAGCAGGCACGGAACCGCCAGCGAGGAGAGACAAAAATCGGCCCAGACAATTTAATATCACCGATACAAATTTGCGCTCGAATTTGTCCAATGATGCCAAGTGAGCCCCCGTTAGCAGCATAGAATGGCACGTTAACGGGCATCAAAGGACGGCTCTGGACAGGGAGAATATTGTAAATTAATTCCGAAATGATGGTCGCCGATGCTCCCGTATCGACCAGGGATGCGCACCTCAACCCCGTCAATGTGCCCCACAACGGCTGACGACCCCGACAGATGTGGCTACAACGCGATGGGCCAACACGGACTACTGGCTGGGTTCGATATGAGTCCCCACAGTGGTGCGTGTTGTGCGATGGTGTGCAAAGTCGGCCCCCCGTTCGCTACGGTGTGCGAGTGTGTGACGGGTGTGTGCGTGGCCCAAACATGAGGGGTGCCGCGACTCGCCGGGTTATGATGATGGAGCTTGAGAAGAGGGCCGGCGTTCCGTCGAGGTGTCGTCCCGCGCTGCCGAGGAGAGCGGCACCCCGAGGCGACATGGCCCCGGATACCGCAGTTGTAACAGCGCGGGAGCGCTGGCGATGACGATGGACGTCGAGGTGGCTCGATCCGTCCCGGTCCGCCCGTGCTCCCGCTCCCTGCTGCCGTTGACGGTCGATGGCGCAGATCTCTTCCCGCCGGGAGGGTGGACTGCAGCCACGGCACGCCCGCTCGCCGCCTTGCTGGCCTTCCGTCGTTGCGAGAGCAGGTTTGCGTGGAGGAGTCGTGCAGCTTGGAGGGAACACATTTCGGCGTCGTCCTGTGCCACGATGACGATATCTAAGTCGTCTGCCAGCAGGAGTATCTTCTCCGTAACCATAGCGTCGACGCCTTCGTTGTCCATCCGTGGGAAGGCCGCCTTTGCCAGTGCCAGGAGACTTGTGCGGTATGCCAAGGGCGACTCCTTTGCCCCCCGCTGCGATCGTAAAAGAGTTTGCCTACAGTCCAACGGTGGCCCGTAGACCTGCAGCCAGCAGATGCAGTGCCGTCTGCAGTGTGGAGCGCTTCTCCTTTGGCAACCGATGTTAGGGTGGCGAGAGCGTCGCCGTCGAGCAGTGCCGGCAGCGCGCGGAGAGCCTCGTCATCCGTCCACCGCGCCATTTCCTGGTGAGCGAGGAAGCGCGCTGGAAGCCGCCCCAGTCGCCGTCCTCGCCCACAAACTCTTTGAGTGGAGGTAGCCGCTGATGTAACGCAGCAGCCGCGGTGGAAGGTCGCTCTCCCTCGTCCCCCTCACCCGGCTCTGCTTCGGCGCGAACGACCGATGGCATCGCCGGTCGCACCCGTGGTGACGCTCCGTCCGTTGGAGATGACGTGGCAGCTACTGTACGGCCGCCGTTGGACGCGAGGCTCAGGCCAGCCACACCCTCAGCAGCAGCTGCGGCGATGGCGGGAATTTCAAAGTGGTGCTCCGTCGAAATGGCGGAAGGCGCTGTGGTCGTCGGCTGTCGTCGCCCCGTAGCGGTCCAGCAGCCCCCAGCTGTGTGATGTGGTCCAGCATGGTGGCAGCGGCGTACAGCAGCTCCGCCAGCTTCGCGTGCGCCTGCCTCAGCCCCTCTGTCGACGGCTCCCCATCCTCCGGCTGCTGCGGTGTGGATGCATCCGGCCCCGGCTGCTCGATGCCATCTTCAGCCGTCTCGGGCTCCCCGACTGCAGCGGCGTCCTCCGCCTCTGGTAACCCTGACTCGAGTCGTCCGGCGCGTGTCCATGTTCGTAGTTGTTTCACTTCCGACACCAGATGTAGTAGCGTTCACGACTCTTGGACGCCGGAGTTGGAGCACACGGGTTTATTTAACACAGCACGTTCGTGGCATACAACACTAGAGGGGGTAATCGGCCCCTTCACCCGACTATCTGAGGATACACGTCCTAGCTACTCCTAGCCTGCCTCCTAGTCCTCCACTAACGGGCTAGGGGAGGCTAGCTGGCCCGACACTGGTAAGTCGGGCCCGGTACCCGGAGTCCCAGACCAGCTCTTACAAGAGCACCGGCTCTGGCTCTCGGGACCACGCCGCTGGCTCGGTCCTGTTCGGCCCTGATAAGGACGGCGAACCAGGGGAGTCCAGGGCTCTATCTAAGACGTCTTCAGTCTTCACTGGTTAGCTTAACATTCTCCCCTTAGCCCTCCGACACATCCCTTTTATACCCAACCCCCTCGCTGAGGGGTGGGGCCCCAGGGGATCATAACTCCGAGTCAGCCCCCCAGGGTGCCTGACGCGGACGTCGTAGAGAGCACCTTCCCATGCACTCATGTAGCCCCGCCCACTGTGTTTGTTTGCCATAAGCTCCCATGCATAACGGGCTCTCTCTACACCCCTACAGTTGTTTGATTGTTGCGGTTGTTGTTGCGGTTGTTGTTGTGGTTGTTATCCGCTTGGCGGGGCGGGGGGTGTGTGTGCTCACCGCAGCTCTGCTTCTGTGCGGAGTCCGGGTCCCGTGCCACCAGCGTGGTGACGACGCTGCCCAGAGCGACGCCCTCGGACAGCCGCACCTGCTGCAGCCCGCGCTCAAACAGCGGAGCCTCGTTCTCATCCTCAACACTCACCTGGCGCCGCGGAGAGACACGGGGAGAGACACGTGGGGAGAGACACGGTGAGAGACACGTGGGGAGAGACCGGGGAGAGACACACGTGAGGAGACACACGGTGAGAGACACGTGGGGAGAGACACGGGGAGAGACACGCGGGGAGAGACACGGGGAAGAGCACGGGGAGAGACACGTGGGGAGAGACACGGGAGAGACACGTGGGAGAGACACGGGGAGAGATGCGGGGAGAGACGCGGGGTGGCGCTTTTCCGCGGGAATCTTTGTTCGTGGCGGGAGAATCCGAGCAGCTGTGGAAGCTTTTGGGGGGCCGTGGGGGGGGGGGGCGTGGGGGGGGGCCGTGGGGGGGCCATGGGGGGGGGCCGTGGGGGGGGGGGCCGTGGGGGGCCGTGGGGGGGGGCCGTGGGAGGGGGGTGCGTGGGGGTGACTCACCGTGACGGTGGCGGTACTCTGGGGAGGGGTCCACGCGGATTTCACGAGCGGCTCCTCGTTGTCCACGACGACGATGAGTTTTGTACGACGACGCCATCTCAAAGTCTAAGGGCTGCGGCATACACACACGTACACACACGTACACACGTACACACACGTATACACACGTACACACACGTATACACACGTACACACGTACACACACGTACACACACACGTACACACGTACACACATACACACACACACACACGTACACACACACACACTACACACACACACACACGTACACACACCAACACAGACACACACAGACACACACACAGACACACACACGTACACACACACACACGTACACACACACACACACGTACACACACCAACACAGACACACACAGACACACACACAGACACACACACGTACACACACACACGCACACACACACACACACGTACACACACACACGTACAACACGTACACGCACACACACACACGCACACACATGCACACACGTACACACACACACGCACACACGTACATACACACGTATACACACGTACACACACACACACACGTACACACAGGTACACACGTACACACACGTACACGTACACACGTACACACACACACGTACACACACACGTACACACACACGTACACACACGTACACACAAAACACACGTACACACACGTACACACACGTACACACGTAACACACACACACCGTACACACAGACACACACACACGTATACACACGTACACACACACGTACAACACGTACACACACGTACACACGTACACACACACGTACACAGACACACACGTACACACACGTACACACGACACGTACACACACACGTACACACCACACACACGTATACACACCGTACACACACACACACACGTATACACACACGTACACACACACGTACACAGACACGTACACACACGCACACGCACACACACGTACACACACGTACACGTACACACACACATACAGACACACACGTACCACACACACACACACACACGTACACACACACGTACACACACACACGTACACACACGCACACACACACACGTACACACGTACATACACACGTACACACACACGCACACACGCACACACACACGTACACGCACACACGTACACACACACACACGTACACACACACACACGTAAACACGTACACACACACGTACACACATACACGCGTACACACAAACACGTACACACACGCGCACACAGCCGCGCACACACACGGACACACACACGGACACACGAACATACAAAAGACAAAGATCCCCCGTATAGCTTTAGCAGACTGTAGGGGCAAGGCCGGCGCTGTGGCACACGAGGGGGTGGGAAGCCAGCAGCACGCCCGGCCGCCTTGTCTCCCCAGTGCTGGCGACGTTCTGACCACCGTGACCCCCCCCCCACCCCCCACCCCCCACTGGACGTCTGTGCAAAAAATACCTCCTCCTCCCTCTACTCCCCCCTCCCCTCCCTCCCTTTCCTCACTCCACACCCTCCTTTCCACCCCCCCCTCCCTCCCCTCCCTCCTCCTTTCACCCCCTCCCTCCCCTCTCCTCCTCCCAGTCCTCCCCTCCCTCCCCTCCATCCTCCCCCCCTCCCCTACCTCCCTTTCCTCACTCCAACCCCTCCTTCCACCCCCCCCTCCTCCCCTCCCCCCTCCCCTCCCCCCCTCCCCCCCTCCCCCCTCCCTCCCCTCCCCCCCTCCCCCCCTCCCTCCCTCCCCTCTCCTCCCCTCCTCCCCTCCCTCCTCCCCCCTCCCCTACCTCCCTTTCCTCACTCCAACCCCTCCTTCCACCCCCCCTCCCTCCCTCCCCTCCCTCCCTCCCTCCCCCCTCCCCCCCCCCCCCCTCTCCCTCCCCTCTCCTCCCCTCCTCCCCTCCCTCCCCCCTCCCCTCCCTCCCCTCCCTCCCCTCCCTCCCAAGCGTTACCTTGACAACGACGATCCTGCCATCGTTGGTAGCGGGGTCGGTCTCCACGGCGAACAGGTCCTGGGGGTCTCCCGCCCCCACGCCGCCCCCCCCCCGCCCCCCCCCCGCGGAGTGAGTAGCGGACTCGCCACGCCGCCGTGCCGACCTCGTCCGCGTCGATCACCGAGAGAAGCGCCATCGTCACCGGCACCCCCACGGCGTTCTCACGCACCGTGCCCGTCCACTGGGGCGGGTGGCGGCGGTGGTGACGAGGGAGGGGGGCGGGGGGCGGGACATCGTTGTTGTTGTTGTATACAGACTATGTGCAGTGTTGAGTCTATGGGCAGTGTTGAGTCTATGGGGCAGTGTTGAGTCTATGGTGCAGTGTTGAGTCTATGGTGCAGTGTTGATTCTATGGGGCAGTGTTGAGTCTATGGTGCAGTGTTGAGTCTATGGTGCAGTGTTGAGTCTATGGGGCAGTGTTGAGTCTATGGTGCAGTGTTGAATCTATGGTGCAGTGCTGAGTCTATGGGGCAGTGTTGAGTCTATGGGGCAGTGTTGAGTCTATGGTGCAGTGTTGAGTCTATGGTGCAGTGTTGAGTCTATGGTGCAGTGTTGAGTCTATGGTGCAGTGTTGAGTCTATGGTGCAGTGTTGAGTCTATGGTGCAGTGTTGAGTCTATGGTGCAGTGCTGAGTCTATGCGGCAGTGTTGAGTCTATGGGGCAGTGTTGAGTCTATGGGGCAGTGTTGAGTCTATGGTGCAGTGTTGAGTCTATGGTGCAGTGTTGAGGTTGGGTGGCGGTGTGCGTGTGGGTGGTGTGTGTGGTGGTGGTGGCGGCGTGCCGTACGGTTCTGCTCGTGAACTCGGGGGCGTGGTCATTGATGTCGGTGATGGTGATGATGGCGGTGGCCGTGGTTGAGAGACTGATTCTGGCGTCTCCCTCCATGTCCGAAGCCATCACCACCAGCGAGAAGCGCGCCACTCTCTACACACAGCGGCACACACACACACAGACACACGCACAGACACACACACAGACACACACAGACACACACAGACACACGCACAGACACACAACACACACATAGACATACAACACACAGAGACACACACAGACACACATAGACACCAATAGAGACATCAACACAGACACACATAGACACACAGACACACACACAGACACACACACATCAACACAGACACACACACACACCAATAGAGACACACACACAGACACACATAGACACCAATAGAGACATCAACACAGACACACATAGACACACAGACACCAACACAGACACACACAGACACACACACAGACACACACACAGACACACAGAGAGACACACACAGACACAAACACACACATCAACACAGACACACATAGACACACACACAGACACACACACAGACACACACACACAGACACACCAACACAGACACACACATCAACACAGACACACACAGACACACAGACACACACACAGACACACCAACACAGACACTCACACACACAGACACACCAACACAGACACACAGACACAGACACACACAGACACAGACACACACAGACACAGACACACACAGACACACACACACAGACACAGACACACACACAGACACACAGACACACACACAGACACACACACAGACACTCACACACACAAACACACACTCACACACTCACTCACACACTCACACAAACACTCACACACTCACTCACACACTCACACAAACACACAGACACTCATTCACACACTCACACAGACACTCACTCACACTGACACTCACTCACAGAGACATTCACACACTCACACACACAGACACACACTCACACAGACACACACACACACAGACACACACAGACACACACACGTGACACCCACCTCTCGGTCCAGCCCGACCACAGTGCGGGTGGTGATGATGCCCGTGCGACGGTCGATGTGGAACAGGCTGTGCTGTGCGGTCCCCATGGGGGGGACTGCCCCACGATGTCGTAGCGGAGAGCTCCGTGGGGCGTCAAGGGGTCGTCCAGGTCACTCGCCTCCACCCTCATCACGAAGGTGCCTGACACGGCCACAGGGGGAGGTGGGAGAGGGAGGGGATGGAGTGAGTGAGTGTGTGTGTGATTGAGTGTGTGAGTGTGTGTATAAGGGAGTGAGTGAGTGTGTGTGATGGGGCAGTAGTGGAGAGAGTGGAGAGTTTCCCATACCTGGGCAGTGTGCTTATGACCGGCTCCAGTTTAACAGCAGAGGTCTCACTCCGAATCAGTCGAGCGGCAATATCTTTTCATCGGTTGCGTAACGCTGTGTGGAAGCTACCTTGTCTGTCGCTCCGCACGAAGCTTCGGGTCTTCTCGGCCACGGTCATTCCCTCCCTTCTCTACGTTTGCGAAACGTGGACACCCCCTAATGGAGAATCTTCGTCGGTTGGAAACATTTAGGCTGGCCTGCCTACGATCCATCCTGGGATTAACCAGGTTGGATTGTGTGAGGAGCTCACAAATCCTTGAAAGATCTGGGCAAAGTCCCATCGGTGAGCTCCTCCGGCAGGCAAGGCTGCGTTGGCTGGGTCATGTAGCCCGCATGCCCAGCCACCGCATGCCTAAACAGCTTTTGTTCGGCCGGATCGAGGGGGCTAAACGGGCGCGGCACGGGCTAGAGAAGAGATGGAGTGATGTGGTACAGGAGGACGTGGAGCTGAGTGGACTTGCCGATGACTGGTACCAACGGTATCAAGATCGGCCTCGTGGAGGAGGCTCGTGAAGGACGCTACTGGGCAGTTGGAGGCAGTCGCCCTCCAACAACGGAGGGCGGAGGAGCGACGCTCACAACAATGAGCGGAGCACCGGGTGGCTAAAGCAACAGCAAGTGGGCACAGTAGGGGCACAGGTGGTGCATGAGCCAGTCATCTCGGTCATCTCAGTCAGTCGACCCGTGGCACCTGGGTCGGCCCCGTGACCTCCTGCCAGCGGGCGTTCGACACTTCACATGGCCTCAAGGTGCACATGACCTGGCACAAGCGTCGTGGTGACGTCACCGCCACTTAGTGGCGAATGGCGGTTGTTGTTGAGTGAGTGTATGAGTGAGTGTGTGAGCGAGTGAGTGTATGAGTGTGTGAGTGCGTGAGTGTGTGAGTGAGTGAGTGAGTGTGTGAGTGAGTGTGTATGAGTGAGTGTGTGAGTGAGTGTGTGAGTGAGTGTATAAGGGAGTGAGTGAGTGAGTGTGTGAGTGAGTGTGTATGAGTGAGTGTGTGAGTGTGTGAGTGAGTGTATAAGGGAGTGAGTGTATGAATGTGTGAGTGTGTGAGTGTATAAGGGAGTGAGTGTATGAATGTGTGAGTGTGTGAGTGTATAAGGGAGTGAGTGTATGAGTGTGTGAGTATGTGAGTGAGTGTGTAAGTGTATGAGTGAGTGAATGAGTGTATGAGTGAGTGAGTGAATGAGTGAGTGAATGAGTGTATGAGTGTGTGAGTGAATGAGTGTGTAAGTGACATTCTTCCACTCCGGTGGTGAGTGTACACCCAGCACCTCATTCAAACCCTTAATGGCCTGGTCTTAGCTAGCTGATAAAAGTTGCAAGCGAGAATTTTATCATCGCTTGCGGCTGGGGTTGGCATCATCCCTGACTCCTCCTGATATCGAGGGGAAATGGGCGAAGTTTAGGACTGTGGCTCATGCAGCTGCAATGGCTGCTTTAGGTACACGTTCCAGACCTCCCGAGAGACCCTGGCTGACAGAGGAGGTGTTCAAGCTGGCTGAGAAAAAGGCGACAGGCCCGCTCTCATCGGCTACAGCATCCCACGTCGGAGAATGAGGAGGCTTACCGCAGCCTTCACTCGGAGGTTCGGAGAGCCGTGAGGTGCTGCAAGGATGGGTGGTGGTCGCGGGTTGCTGAGGAGATGGAGTCTGCCTCAATGGCCCGTGATCACAAATCGCTCGTTAATTCCATCAAAAAAGTAATCTGCAGCGCCACACCTATTACCATCATTAAGAGAAAGAATGGTGATCCAATCTCCGTCCCCCAGGAACAGGTTGGCAGATTTGTTGAGCATTTCTGAGGTCCTGGGGGAGGGCAAATCCCTCAGCCTAGAAAAAACGTGGGACAAAGTGGGGATGACCCTGCTGAGGCTGCGGTGCCTCAAATATTGGAAGAAGTCACCCCCCCTTTGAGTGGCTAGCTGAGTTGAGATCTGTTGAGGAAGTACTGAAGGCGATCCGGAGTCTGAGACCAGGAAAGGCACCTGGCAGAGATGATCTCCCAAGTGAAATATTGAGGGAGGGTGGCCTTTGTGCACAGACTGCCCTACATGACATCATAACAACAGTCTGGACCACTGGACGGGTTCCGCAGGATTGGAAGGATGCCCTGGTGGTCCCCCTCTTTAAGAAGGGGGACCGCACAGACTGTAACAACTACAGGGGCATCTCACTCCTCAGTGTACCGTGAAAGGTCCTGGCAAGGATTATTCAACATCGCCTTGCTAGGCACACTGAGGAGAGGCGTGCGGAGCCCCAATGCGGTTTCAGGAAAGGGTGGTCCTGCACAGATGCCATATTTTCTGTCGCCTGCTACAGCAGAGTTGTGGAGTTCCAACAAGACCTACATCTCTGCTTTATTGACCTGGTCAAGGCTTATGATACCATCAGTAGGCCTGGGCTCTGGGTTGTTCTTCGTGCTTTCGGAGTGCCTGACCCTCTGTTCACAATCATTAAGGACCTTCATGATGGTGAGCGGGCCCGGGTAAAACTACGTGGGGGAGTCGGAGCCATTCCCTCTATCATCATCCTCGCCATCGTCGTCATCGTCATCATCGTCATCACCATCATCATCATCGCCATCATCATCATCGCCATTATCATCGTCATCATCATCACCATCGTCATCATGATCATCATCGTCATCGTCATCATCATCGTCATCATCATCATCATCGTCATCATCATCATCATCGTCATCATCGTCATCATCATCATCATCGTCGTCATCATCATCATCGTCATCATCGTCATCATCATCACCATCGTCACCGTCATCATCACCATCATCATCACCATCATCACCATCGTCACCATCATCACCATCGTCACCATCATCATCGTCACCATCATCATCGTCACCTCGTGGCGATCCTTCCGTGAGGCTGCCGTGGAAGACGTCTCTGGTGAACTTGGGGCGGTTGTCGTTGACGTCGATGACGTCAATGACGATGTCAACGGGATCCTCCACAAAACCTCCAGTCGGGTCGACGGCGAAGCAGCGCAGCTGCAGTCACAACAACAACAGCAGCAGCAGAGTGCAGCTGTGTAGAGTGTAGTGTATAGTGTAGTGTATAGTAGTGTAGTGTATAGTAGTGTGTATAGTAGTGTAGTGTATAGTAGTGTAGTGTATAGTAGTGTAGTGTATAGTGTAGTGTATAGTAGTGTAGTGTATAGTAGTGTAGTGTATAGTGTAGTGTATAGTGTAGTGTATAGTGTAGTATATAGTGTGTATATAGTGTATAGTGTAGTGTATAGTGTAGTATATATTGTGTAGTATATAGTGTATAGTGTCGTGTAGTGTAGTGTATAGTGTTGTATAGTGTAGTGTATAGTGTAGTATATATTGTGTAGTATATAGTGTATAGTCGTGTAGTGTGCTCCGTACGCGATACTGAGCGATCACCTCGCGGTCCAGGCTCGCGGTGACTGACACTCTCCCCGTGGCGGCGTCGACGACGAACAGCCCCGTGGGTTGTCGGTCAGCGCCCTCCCCCGCCAAGGCGTAGCGCACGTCCACGCCCACAGCGTTGGACTTCACCTGCCGTGGGGGGCATTGGCGGAGTGGGGGGCCGTGACGGAGTGGGGGGCGGTTGGCGGAGTGGGGGGCTCCTACGCCGGACTAGTCTCGGCACTCTCACGCCCGGCTCACCCTCGGTCATCCGCGTTGTGTGAGTGAGTGTGTGTGTGTGAGTGAGTGTGTGAGTGAGTGTGTGTGAGTGTGTGTGTGAGTGAGTGTGTGATTGTGTGTGTGAGTGTGTGTGAGTGTGTGAGTGTGTGTGAGTGTGTGAGTGTGTGTGAGTGTGTGAGTGAGTGTGTGTGAGTGTGTGAGTGAGTGTGTGAGTGTATGAGTGAGTGAGTGTATGAGTGAGTGTGTGTATGAGTGAGTGAGTGTATGAGTGAGTGTGTGTATGAGTGTGTGAGTGAGTGTGAGTGTGTGTGAGTGTATGAGTGAGTGAGTGTATGAGTGTGTGTATGAGTGAGTGAGTGTGTGTGAGTGAGTGTGAGTGAGTGTGTGAGTGAATGAGTGAGTGTGTGACATCACGGCCGTCCGCGTCCCGTGTGTTTGTTGAACTATCCCTGGACTCTGCACCGCCGCTGGGCGTGTTTGTGTCACCCCCCGTGGCTGATAGAAAAGAGCTTCCCGGCTCTACGGATTCCTCCCCCTCCTCCACCTCCTCCTCTTCCTCGTCTGTCTGATCCAGCTCCACCACCTCCACCTTCTACACGGGGCCTAACCCTAGGCAGGGGCTAGTTTAGGCCTAATTTAGGGTTAGTTTAGGGCTGGTTTACGCCTAGTTTAGGCCTAATTTAGGCCTAGTTTAAGGCTAGTTTAGGGTTAGTTTAGGCCTAGTTTAGGGTTAGGTTAGGCCTAGTTTAGGGTTATTTTAGGGTTAGTTTAGGCCTAGTTTAGGGCTAGTTTAGGCCTAGTTTAGGGTTAGTTTAGGGTTAGTTTAGGCCTAGTTTAGGGTTAGTTTAGGCCTAGTTTAGGGCTAGTTTAGGCCTAGTTTAGGGTTAGTTTAGGGCTAGTTTAGGCATAGTTTAGGCCTAGTTTAGGGTTAGTTTAGGGTTAGTTTAGGCCTAGTTTAGGCCTAGTTTAGGGTTAGTTCTGGCCTAGTTTAGGGCTAGTTTAGGCCTAGTTTAGGGTTAGTTTAGGGCTAGTTTAGGCCTAGTTTAGGCCTAGTTTAGGGTTAGTTTAGGGCAAGTCTAGGTCTAGTCTAGGGCTAGTTTAGGGTTAGTTTAGGCCTAGTTTAAGGCTAGTCTAGGGCTAGTCTAGGATGAGGCTAGACGACAGCGAGAATGGGAGCGCTCTGCGCACAGCGCCGCACCTGCAGCAGCAGCTTGGGGAAGGGGCCACGCTGGTTCTCGGGCACGGACACGGGGGGGTTGACCCACGTCCGTCTCCAGCGGCGCTGACGCGCACCACCACGCCCTGCCTGCCGGAACCTCACCACCACCTCCACCACCTTCTCCACCTCCTCCACCTCCGCGCGTCTCTCCCCACGCTCTCTCTGTGCGGGGTGCGGTGAAGGTGACATCGAAACGTCATCGTGAGCGAGGCCACCTCACGTGTGTGTGTACGTGTGTGTGTGTGTACGTGTGTGTGTGTACGTGTGTGTGTACGTGTGTGTGCGTGTGTGTGCGTGTACATGTGTGTGTGTACGTGTGTGTGTGTACGTGTGTGTGTGTACGTGTGTGTGTACGTGTGTGTGCGTGTGTGTGCGTGTACATGTGTGTGTGTACGTTTGTGTGTGTGTACGAGTGTGTGTGTGTACGGGTGTGTGTACGTGCGTGTGTGTGTACGTGCGTGTGTGTACGTGTATGTGTGTGTACGTGTGTGTGTACGTGTGTGTACGAGTGTGTGTGTGTACGTGCGTGTGTGTGTACGTGTGTTTTGTGTACGTGTGTGTGTGTACGTGTGTGTACGTGTGTGTGTGTATGTGCGTGTGTGTGTACAAGTATGTGTGTGTACGTGCGTGTGTGCGTGTGTGTATGAGCGTGTGTGTGTACGTGCGTTGTGTGTACGTGTGTGTGTACGTGTTTTTGTGTACGAGTGTGTGTGTGCGTGTGTGTACGTGTGCCATGCTAATCAGAAGTATGGTGAGTCTATGGGTCTCTGTGAGGTGAGTCTATGGGTCTCTCTGTGGTGAGTCTGTGAGTCTCTGTGTGGTGAGTCTGTGGGTCTCTGTGTGGTGAGTCTGTGGGTCTCTGTGTGGCGAGTCTGTGGGTCTCTGTGTGGTGAGTATATGGGTCTCTGTGTGGTGAGTCTGTGGGTCTCTGTGTGGTGAGTCTGTGGGTCTCTGTGTGGTGAGTCTATGGGTCTCTGTGTGGTGAGTCTGTGGGTCTCTGTGTGGTGAGTCTGTGGGTCTCTGTGTGGTGAGTCTATGGGTCTCTGTGTGGTGAGTCTGTGGGTCTCTGTGTGGTGAGTCTGTGAGTATCTGTGTGACGAGTCTGTGGGTCTCTGTGTGGTGAGTCTATGGGTCTCTGTGTGATGAGTCTGTGGGTCTCTGTGTGATGAGTCTGTGGGTCTCTGTGTGGTGAGTCTGTGGGTCTCTGTGTGATGGTCTGTGGGTCTCTGTGTGGTGAGTCTATGGGTCTCTGTGTGAGGAGTCTGTGGGTCTCTGTGTGGTGAGTCTGTGGGTCTCTGTGTGATGAGTCTGTGGGTCTCTGTGTGATGAGTCTATGGGTCTCTGTGTGGTGAGTCTGTGGGTCTCTGTGTGGTGAGTCTGTGGGTCTCTGTGTGGTGAGTCTGTGGGTCTCTGTGTGATGAGTCTATGGGTCTCTGTGTGATGAGTCTGTGGGTCTCTGTGAGGTGAGTCTGTGGGTCTCTGTGTGGTTGAGGGGGGGGGTGGTTGAGGGGGGGGCGGGGTGTGAATGAGGGGGGGGCGGGGGGTGGTGAGGGGGGGGGGCAGGGGGGGGGTAGGGGGGGGGCGGGGGGTGTTGAGGGTGGGGGGGGGGGCAGGGGGGGGGGGGGGGGGGGGGGGGGGGGGGGGGTGGTGGTTGAGGGGGGGGGGCAGGGGGGTGGTTGAGGGGGGGGGCGGGGGG